CAAAGGAGGCAGGGTCAGAGGTGGAAATAGACAGACTTATTGGGAGACACAGTAAACCAATTTGTCAGAGTGGGAGGGCTAATGAAGGCCATAGTGGAAGGGGGATGTTGAAAGGATACATCTGATAAAGACAGAAGAAAGTACAAATTCTTTAGCTTTAAATTCCAAGCCGTATCTACCAGGCAATGAGGACCTGTTGAAGGTTATTATGTAGTTGAATGATTTAAGAAGATTAAAATGATGGCAGTTTGCTATAAGGATGGTAGGTGGAAAACTGGTTTAGGAGGTTAGCAAAGGAATTCAATATCCAAGAAACAAGAGAGGAAAAAAGGGGAATGCTAGGCAATATACAGAAGTCACTCCTTTTGTGACTGTAGACAATTTTCTCTCAATTGTGAATTCTTGCAAGTGTTTATCTCACCCCAATGGCTTCCTTCCCTCCCTCTCTCCCTTCCTCCTCTTACCTCTTTCCCATCTTTCCTCCTCCCTCCCTCCCTTCCTCCTTTCCTCTCCCCTCCCTCCCTCCCTCCCTCCCTCCCTCCCTCCCTCCCTCCCCCTCCCTCCCTCCCTCCCTCCCTTCCTTCCTTCCTTCCTTCCTTCCTTCCTTCCTTCCTTCCTTCCTTCCTTCCTTTTTCTTTTCCCAAATTACTGAGTATTTGTTGCTTTTGTACTGGACATTCATTGTTCCCTGAAAATGTTGAGAAGGAAATGTCAGGGTAAGAATGTCCAAACCAGTAGAGAATTTTTATGAATTTATTTGAACCAAACTGACAGCATATGGCAGGAAGAAAGATCTCAACTTTTCTAAAGAATAGCAGTTCCAAGTTTCTTTTATGCATTTGGGGAATTGAGGGATTACATGAAGGTGGGAGAGAGAAAGGTAGGGATTGGATTACAGATATCAACTGATGGTCGATGGTCGTTGCCAACAGGAATCCCCAATTTGGGTGTGGTGAAGAAAGAAACATCATTCAGTGCAAAACATCAACTGTGATGCAGCAGGGTTGTGAAAACTGCATGGCTACGGAACAGTGTTGGGACCAGGCAGCTCTGGGCCAGACCCCTCTCTGGTTAGACAGTTCTGTTGTGCCCTTGTTGGTTAGTTCTCCTCTGCTCTGTGCCAATCTGCTTTGTCCTGCTCTGTTCTGGCAAGACATTTTTGGCAGTTCAACTCTACATGGGAAAACATAGTCTTCCGAGGAGAAGACTCCCAAAGCTAGAGGGGAGCGGGTTTATATGGACAGGAGTCCACACCCCTGATTGATCCATTCTCATGCAAATGAGGACTCCAAATCCTCATAGTCTGACTAAAAGGTACTATCCTGATTGGCCAGAATAGAGCTGCTCTAATTGGCTGGAGCTGTACAGTTGATTGGATGGGGAAAGTCTGAATCCTAGTGTTTGAAATGGGATTCCAAGAACCCTTTTATAAGGGCTGGCTCCGATGGCAGAAACACAGTGCAGGCAGGCAGTTCAGCACAGAGCCTGGCAGTCCAAGGCCAGCTTCTTCGTGAAGTGCCATTTGTGTGAGAGGTCCCCAGGTCCCTCTGCAAAAAAATGACTGCCAGGTTCTGTTTTTAAAAATTAGAGTCTGGTTAGCCACTAGGAGCCCTTCTCAGTAGGTGTCTGTCTTCTCAGGGTGTACACAAGATAAACCCTGCTCCCTTGGAGGTGGTTATGCCTCGGAGGGGTATGAAGAAAAGGATTACTCTGGCATTCCAAAAGTGTGTTAACCTAGATGCACAGGAATAGTGGACAGGACTTGCTTAAGGCACAGATAAACCTTTGACAAGAAGACTTCTATGCCTGGGGCGTGACTGCCCACCATCACCTATTCCAGTTAGGAATTTCTGATCAGATCGCTCTGGGAGGTTACTTTCTATCACCGAACTTGTCAGTTTTGCTACAGAACTCTTGATTCATCCCTAGGAATTTCATTTTTTCCTGGGGAAGTCAAACAAGGAAGAAAACCAAGTGGGATTCAATAGGCAAACAAGTGGAAGTGTGCACCAGGCTTTTGTGCACAGAGGGCCCCTGATCTATTATAGCCGAGAAGGGGCCGCTTGAACCCAGCCTGGGATACCACAAGGAAGTCACTGGGAAGTGGGTGAAGGATGAAGGCAAGGTACAGAGGAAGGAGGGTCTGCAGTTAGGTGGTGAGCCTGCGTTATAGGACACGGGTGCAAGAGCGAGGGCTGTGAGGTGAGAGAAGTTAGCAGGGCCTTGTGTGTCCAGCTACAGCTTTTAGGTTTTATTCCAAGCATGTTGGAGGTCCCTGAAGAACATTGCATGGAAGAATGACCTCAGCTTTTCTTTAAGGCTCATGCGAACGGAAGAGTACCTACAATCTTAGGATCTGGAATCAGATTGAGACGAGGGTGTTACTCATGGTTCAACCAGTTGGTGGTTGTGTGACCTTGGACAAGTTGCTTCACTTCTCTAAGCCCCAATTTTTTTCTTCTTCTCTAAGCTTAAAAAAAAAAAAAAAAAAGCTACCTTTAAAAAAAAAGTATTGTTTTTATTTTCGAGAATTAAATCATCTATCATTCGTAACTTTCTTTTTTAAAATTTATCTTTACTGTTGAAAGTATTTACAATAGATGTCCTTTTTCCCCAATTTCCTTTTACCCCCTTCACCCCGCCCCTCCCCAGGCCTTCAACACTATTGTCTGTGTCCATGGGTTATGCACATATACACACAAATTCTTTGGTTAATCTCTTAGCACAGTGCCTGGCTAATAGAAAGCCCTCCAAAACTGATAGCTCCTCTGACGAATACACATATGACCTCTGGCACTGTTATTACTGTAAAAGCAGAGTGGTGTGCAAGATGAGTCAGAGATATGTACCTGGATAAGCTGAAGGAAGGGAGACCAGTTCGGAGGTCTCTGGGGTAATCTAGGCAAGAATATTCCTCTATTTTTTTTTTGGTCCAGTACCCAGCTATCATCCAGAAGGAAAAAAAGTTGTGGAAATTGTGGAATAAGTGACAAGAAAGACTGAGCAAAATGTGATGATTGATTGGCTCAGAGAAACAAGGGATAGAATAGAAGACAGCCACCAGGCTTCAAGCTTGGGTGACTGCAGAATTCTGATATGATTGACATCTGGGAACCCTTTTTCTTCCCATCCTTTGGCTTAGCTTTCTCGAGCCGTTGCTCTCCCAACATCTTCAGATGGCCAGCCGCTTTTTCAATCTCATTTGCGCTGTGCACGTCTGCCGCTTCTTCTGTCTCCAGAATTCCTTGTCCCAACTACACGGCGGGCATGTCTGAATTTAGGACCTTCACATCTTTGAAGTCTCAAACTCCACTTACACATTGGTGTTGAATACATCTCTTTAATGGCTTCCAAATATTATTTCATTTTCAGACCATGTGGATATCTCTGGAAAAAAACTTTAGCATCTCTGCCCCTGTTCAGGAACATTAATAGAGTCCTGTGCTTTAACAATTAATATTGTGTTCGGAGCAAAATATTTCTCGGGCTTCTCCATATTGTAGAATTGCTACTTCCTGTTTTGAATATGGAATTCTGTTTTAGGTCCCAGGTGACAAACAACAGCAAACACACTAAAGTGACCCAGCCTTTGGCCTTGTCCTTCCTGCCAAATTGGTGCTTCTCTGACTCTCAGCACAGTGGGAGAAATGTAAGAGGGTGATGTGAGACCTTGTTCTAACCCCATGGTTGGCAAACTGCGGCTCACAGGCCACACCTGGCTCTTTGGCCCCTTGAGTGTGGCTCTTCCACAAAATACCATGGCCTGGGCGTGTCTATTTTGAAGAAGTGGCGTTAGAAGAAGTTTAAGTTTAAAAAATTTGACTCTCATAAGAAATTTCAATCGTTGTACTGCTGATATTTGGCTCTGTTGACTGATGAGTTTGCCGACCACTATTCTAACCAAATGATCTGTCCACCCTACAGGCCTGGTTTTAGTAGAAGGTGGGGAGGGGGGCCATGGTTCTTTCATTATCTTTCTTTCCTTTTTTTTTTGTTTCTTCTGAACAATTGCCTGGTCACTAAAAATGCCTTACAGACAAAGATCAGGAATTTTGAGGTTGTCCTGGGGGCCAGATTCTCCATCTGAAGGCTCTGCCAATGGTTAGAGAGATTGTTTTTAAGAGAGAACCTTTTAAATCAATGTCTTACACCAAAACACGTGACACATCCTGGAGCGTGCTGTGCTCTCTACCAGTGAAACAGCAGCATGCTGAGCCGTCCGCCCAAACTCACTGCCCAGGTGTCCTGAGGATCCTGCATACACATGTGAGCTGCTGCCCTGAGCTAGGGGAGGAGAGCAAAACCCACTGCTGAGGGGATTGCATCCTGGTCTCGGCTGCATTAGGTCCCGAGTGCTTGCTGATGAAGTTGGTAGGATCTAGTGTATACCTACTCGGAAGTCAGGGTTTCCTGACTCCACAGCAGCACATGCATTCTACCCTTTCCCTCCACCGTCACCTACTGTGTGTGTATGTGTGTGTGTGTGTGTGTGTGTGTGTGTGTGTGTGTGTTTCAGAAATAGTGCACGAGAGATAGGAAGCTCATTGTCTCTGTGGGAAAAAGCAGTTTTGGGTTCTCAATGTTTTAGTCAGCTGCTTTCATACTTTTCCAGACTAAATAGACCTGAGGCTATTAAAACAGGTTCATAGTGACCAAAAAAGGGACTTTCCCAATTGCCCTTTGCTCAGTAACAAATCCTAAACACTTGAATTTGCCTTTTGATGGCCCCGAGTGGCCACATAAGCCTCCCCATCTTTGGGGCGGGCAGGGCAGAGGGAGTCTCTGTCCTTAGTGTCCGTGCTGGGTTCCCAGTGAGAGAAGAGCACCTTGGCTGGCTGCTTGTCCAGGAAGGGAAAGTGGGGGGAGAAGGGTGGCAGTTGTGGCAGCTGCTTGCCGAGTTTCACTCCCTGAAGAGGGCGCTGGTCTCTCTTGGGTGTGGGAGAAGGGAGAGGTCAAGAGGACTGGAATGCTCACTTAGATCACCTACCAAGAGAAACCAGGAAGTCAGAGGAATTATTACAGTCTGTTCAGAGCTCAGGATGTGAAAGGCAGGAGCTGGGCTGGCTGGTTATTCATTAGCAAAGAGGAAAGAGCACCGGGGTCAGGACTGGTCAAACTACAAAGACAAAGACGGACCTGAAGTAGGGAGAGAGCTCCTGGCAAAGGCGAGCTGTGGAGTTAACCTCTCTCCCCCCTTCACTTTGTCTTGGGACAAAAGGCAAAGGTGACTATTTCCTCTTCTCAGATGCTTGTCTACAGAGAGGCCTCTGGCTCTGATTTTCGTTGTGGGATTCCTAAGCGGACAAGAAGAAGGGGCATCTCACCACCAAGCAGCCACCCAGCTGCCACTGTGCGCTGCTGCGAGATAGCAGCCACCAGCAGGCGGGCGGGTCTCCCCAGGAGGCCAGGTGTGCCCCGCAGGCTGGGGAGCCGGTGCTGATTGCAGGGCTGCGGGCCGAAGACACAGCCACCGTGCAGAGACAAAGGGGAGAGGGAGGGAACTCTCCCCACCTCTCCCCGACGGGAGAGCAGCAGCATGGGCAACGTCTGCCGGAGGCTCTGGGGGTACTTGAAGCCCTGTCTCCCCTGCTTCGCCCAGGAGACAGGCAAACAGGTGGCGCCTGAGCGCACAGAGAGCCCCTGCCCCCCGGAGCCTCCCAGGCCGCAGGGCTCCTACTTCGTGGCCCTGTTCGATTACCAGGCACGGACCGCAGAGGACCTGAGCTTCCGTGCGGGCGACAAGCTCCAGGTCCTGGACGCTTCCCACGAGGGCTGGTGGCTCGCCAGGCACTTGGAGAAAAGGGGCGTCGGCTCGGGCCAGCGGCTGGAGGGCTATATTCCTTCCAACTATGTGGCCGAGGACAGAAGCCTGCAGGCAGAGCCGTGAGTAGTGCAAACACACACTCTCATTCTAGTGTTCTCTGAGGGTGGGGAGTGGATATGCCTGCCTATCTGCAACTCTCTCTTTTCCAAAGAGCTGCCTAGGAGCTATGAGGAAGTCCCTGGAACCTTCTCATGGAAACACACCTACCTCTTGTACAGCCACAGGCTCTGCATCTTCGTCAACATAAAAAAAAAATATGCCTTGAATGCCCAGCTTTTTCCTTGGCTATAAAATAAGGCACTTAAGTGCATTTATATTTCACTACTATGATTTCTGTGGTCTTATGTATGTTTTATCCTTATTGTAAGATAGGCCATTAGAATAAACACTATACTATGAATAGTAGTGCCTCGAACCCATAACGTACTAAATTTAAACTTGTTCAATTCATTTCACTGCGTAGGGCCTCTGTTTCCCCATCTGTAAGGTCTCTGGAGTCGCCCAGACCTCCGGATTACCTGATGTTTTATGTGTAGTGGTTCAGCTACATTCATACTTGACATACTTGAAGAAAGCCTGTGGAAGACAAGCAATTAAAAAAATGACCATGTTCCAAGGTTCAAGCACAGTGTATTTTCTTATTTAGAGTCTCCTTAATAAACTGAACAAAAACCAACTAAAACGTGGCTATATTTCGATTCTCAGAGACTATCTGTAGCCAATAATACTCTTTCCCTCTGCAAGTAACTCCTGATCCCTCCTCTTGGCGTTAGTTCTCAGCAGTGTTCCCACGTGTCATCACTGTCCTGGGTCTTCACGTGGGCTTCCCTTCGAATCTTCCGTCCACCGGAATACAAACGTGATGCCCACAGATGCTGCAGCTGTGCCTCCTGGCCAGCATGGGCCACTGGTTTCCTTCCAAGCGCACACCGTGGCCTGTGCACCCAGGTCACTAATGAGGGTTCTTGCCATCCAATAGCTAAACTTTGAGACTTTTAGTGCAGGTAGTTGTGGTCTCTAGAATACTACTTCATTTCAAGTGGAAGTGACTTTATCTTAACAGTCTTCTGAGAGAGGGTGCCCCAGTGGCCCGCACAGTGACTTCATACCTGGAAATGGTACAAAAACTGACTTCCTTTAAAGTCTCTCTTCACTGAGTTTTTCAAACATTTTCTTCATTTGCATTTCTTATGAATACCGTTTTTGTTTAAATGATTTTTAAAAAAATGTTTGTTTGTCTCTATAGACACATATATCCTGGTGTTACTTTTTGATGAATAAAAGTCAAGCATCTCGTCAAACTGATGTTGTCAAAGTAGATGCAATGTTCTATAAGATAAAGCAGGACTAATTTTTGTTAAGCACTATTATGTCCTGGTCAGTTCTTGATGCTCCTAAGGAAAAAAAACAAAACAAAGAAACACAAACACAAGATTTTGCCTCTATTAAGTCTGTCCGGTTAACTCAGAAAATCCCCATTTGGGTTTTCTGATTGCTAGTACCACAGTGAGAATCTATATGGTAAATAAAAGTCAGAGCAATCTTTGGTTTTTTTGGTGAATCGCAACTAGGTTCAAACACTAGTAGTATAGAGTTTTAATTGAAATATAATGCTGGCTACCCTTTATGAGTCTGGCTTTGTCGTGACTTAGCTGTGTGACTTTGACCCCTCTGCCTCAGTCTCTTATCTGTAAAATAGGAATAAAAAAGATAATTTTTCCCCTAGGGTCATTATGTGACATAAATGAGATTATTTGCAAGGAAAGTGTGCGCCATAGTGACACTGACACATAGTGAGGGCTTGTTATTTATGATTTAGTTGGGCAGCTCCTCCTGCCTTGTTTACATGGACCTTATGCCCCCATGCTAGCCTCAGCTCACATGCTGAGCATCTTCCAGTGTTCCTCCCGCCCTTTCCCTCGCCCTTTCCGATCTTGGGCTTCACATGGGCTGGCTATTCTCAGGCCTGCAAATCTCTCCCTGCTCTTTTTTTTTTTTCTGGCCAGCTCTCCTGGATCCTTTAGGTCTCACACGGTTTGTTCCTCACTCCCTGCAGCCTTTCCTGACATTCTGGACCATTTTAGGTGCTCCAGCTTAGAAGCCTTAACCTCCTTTGTCTTTATTGCTTATTTGTGTTCTGCATGACTATAGGCTCCGATGTGGTAGGTGGGAAGGGCGGCCATTCATTGCCTTGGACCCCCGAGTTTAGTGTGTTGCCTATGCCTAATCAGCACTCATCAATGTTGGTTGGGTAAGTGAATAATGAAATGAGTGAATGCTTATCTACAAATCTCAGGTATTTTAAAGAATAGCTGACAGAGCCATCTCTTTTCTTCAACTGTTCCTCCCTGAGTTGCTTTTGACTGAGTTTCCTCATTTAAAGGCATATGCTTTTTGCATTATTTTCTCAGTGAATTGTTCCTGCCTTAACTCTTGGTTAGACTCATAGCCATAATAGTTTCATTTCCAGGCTCCCAGAAGTTAGTGACTCTAATTCACTCCTGGAGAAAATACTTAGGGGTCACACACACATTCAAATATTCTTTGTACTGTAGAATGAACATGGAGCCAGGAATAGATTGTGAATCTCACTGAAGTGGTATCTAACCATATTAGACATATTAAACTATACTTGTGGTTATATTTAGAGGAAAGAAAATACTGGTGTGAGATTTTAAATGGACAGAAAATGCAAACCAAATTTACAAAATTAATATTATGGGTCAGACTTGTAAATTCAGTTTTTGTACTCAACATGCATAATTTCAAATTATTACACATATGAGATAATTTTCAGGGTGCATTTGTTGAAAGTTTGACAATTTTACTGAATACTGAATGAATAGATTTTCAATTGTACAGTCTAAAACATTACCCAACAAAATAATTGCATGTTCTTTTTACTGGTTTTCTTACTAATTAGCTGATGATTTTTTTTGTAGCATGCTCTGACTCCCATTTTTAATGGGCATCCTTAGCCCTGAAAGGATTGGGCTAGTTTTTCTGGGGAAGGTAGTTATGCAGATTAATAGCAGCTTGAAGACCTGCTTATAGCTTTTTCCCTGAATCCTGCAACTTTAGTATTAGTTTATGTGGGTATTTCTCTGAAGATTAATGTAATAGAAGAATTTTGCTAAAACGCATAGATGCAAATGTAGAACACGTGCTCTATATTTCTCACCTTCTTGCTTATTTGGCTCATTTTGAATGCTATAATAAACTATCTCTTGTGCAAGATCTTTTTGTCATGATGCCATTTTTTTTACAAAGTTTTTAAAGCTAGATTTTCTTATATTTAAAATGGAATTAACTTCGTTTTAGAATCTTTAATATTTTTATTTCTTATTTTTATTCATGTGGTATATTTTATACTGCATTTAAATTCAGACTAGGTTTTTCAGTTAGAGATTTTAAAAATCAATACTGTTCCTTTTTAAGGGTAAAAAGAGAATGCAATTCAAGAAGTACTATTAATGCCTTGCCAGTGTGGCTCAGTGGTTGAGCATGGAGCCATGAACCAGAAGATCATGGTTCTATTCCAGATCAGGTCACATGTCTGGACTGGGGGCTTGATACCCAGGAGGAGGCATGCAGGAAGCAGCCAATCAATGATTCTATTTCATTATTGATGTTTCTAATCTCTCTGTCTTCCTTTCTTTTCTGAAATCAATAAAAACATATTTTTTGAAAAAGTACTATTATTAAGAATGTTTGCAATTTTAGAAATGTTATTAATAAGAACTTTTGAACTTTATATTAGATATCTAATTTGAAAGGCTTTTAGAACCTAATATCAAAATAAATGTTGCCATTAGTGCAAATGTTTCCTATCACATTGTTGCCGTGTGCTGGGTGATTCAGAAGAATCCGATATGGCTTCCATGAAAGACCAATATTGTTGATAGGCTTAATGTTACTCTCATGCTATTCTGATTCTTTTGTTACTTTTTTGCCATTTTTGAATGTTAACACTTAACACATATCAAGATTCCCATTACAGGAGGAATGTAATCCTAAAAGCCTGAGAATTGTGCTGCTTGCACAGTCACTGCCAGGAAGTCATCTTTGGAGGATGCCTGTGTCATTTCTGTGAAGTAAGACTCAGGCCACTGTCTCCACAATCTCTTTGCATTTCCAGTCATTGAAGAAGATAGAGTTTATGAGATTCCTGTATTAATTCAATACCCTTTTTGCATATGTTTACTTTATTAACGGTACTGATTTTTGTATAGTGAGAGATACCAAAATGTAAAAGGCAGTGTGTCTTCTCTAGAAAATTTTATGCCCCCTGGAGGTAAGACTGATACCAAAAATGTATGTCACTGTCCTTCAGCCACCAACCACCAAGAACCCACTGTAGTGGTTTATTCTTCATTGCAGGGAACATGCACTATGAACAACAGCGGAGCATCTCACAGTAAGCGTGCGTTAGAAAGGGTGCGTCACAGCATTTGGGGGTATGATTTGGGGGAGGGTTTAAAGAAGCAAGGCTTTGCTGTAGACTGGTTGCTGTCAGGAAGTGACAATTAGTATAAGATCGGATATTATAGTTTGAGATTAAAGCTATAATATAATTGGTAAAGAAACAGCAGTTACTTGTATTAACCAAGGTGAATGAATGTTTAGGCACTTTTGTGGTTGGACAATGTCCATGTTTTTGTGGGTGTTCGGACTTGGTTAAGAATGATCTGATCTTGTTTTTTGATCTGTCATGCTCACAAAGGGTCCTGTCTGTTGTTGCTGTTTTTTGGGATTGTTTATGTTCAACAGGGAACAGCAAGGCCTCGTCATAAGTGCCAGGCCAAATCCCGAATGTTAGGGGCTGCTTTTCTCTTTTTGGGCTAGTAAAACACAGATGCTGATGAATGCTATAAGAGTAGCACAAAGTGTCTGTCAGATGCATGTAGTTAAAAAATTGGTTAATGATGAATGAAAAACACACACACAAATACATGGATAAATGTGTGCAAAGATAGGAGAGATCAGTTCTGGTTTAGGAAAATCACACTTGTTCAAGCTCACATGACCCTCTTCCAAGAAGCTTTTTCTAATCTTCATA